GGATTAGGAGGCTGCAGCTCAGTCCCTCACCTCTGAACATCTCTTCTCCCAGTATGGCCTATATGGTCCATTTAATTGACATTGAACTTGGGCAGTGCGCATTCTGACTATGTCCGTATGAATTGCAAGGCACTGTACTGTTATCATCATCATTAATAGCCTTTCAATATTTTCCAATTACTGTGTTTCTCATGTTTTTCAGTGCAGAAGAATGCACAAGCACATCCTCTGTTTTACAGAAAATAAATAAATAAAATACTATGTAAACCTTCAGTTTTGATGTTTGAAGGAAAATGTTGTTCTATCCTAAAGTTTTCTTCAAACGCTAACAGTAATCATATGCATAATCTGACAGTCAGATGATTATTACAATGTGCAGTTATTAAGCACAAGTTTACAAGTTCGAGATTATATTAAATCAGTCAAAAAAAAAAAAAAGACATAAAGCCAGCAGCAATACAACCTAGATCCAATTATCTGTCAGTAAAACAGTCAATACTTGGACACTGCAAGTCTTTACAGTCATAACACAATGTTCCACAATGCCCTTGTCTATCTACGGAGTTTACTGTTTGTTTACTTAAAAGAGCCACTCCATTTTCACTTGGAAGGGATGGTAACAAACAAGATTAAAGATTAAAAAAAAAAACAGACAACAAAAGAGTATGGCTGGTTCTGCCTAAAATGATCATAATCTAAAAGCACATATAACAGTTTCATTAAAAGTATATAATGCAGCTGTGTAAAAGGTTTCTATAACTAATATGTTCAGAAAGTTAAAACATGCATTTTTTTTATCTGAGTGATGGTCTTTTTCTGGTTGAATTTCGCATCTGCATGCATATCAATTGAGCTGGCATGAACTTGTGTTTTGTGCCAGGGAATAACAAATATACAAAACAATGGTTGAAAAGGCATAAGGGCAGTAACAAAAAAGAAATCCGATATCCTGTATATTAAAAGTAATAAAACAATTTGATGGGGGCACATAGGAGGTAGAAGCTTCAAAATCCCAAGTTTTTGAATACAAAACAAGTTTCAGATTCATCTGCCAGTTCTGCTGGCTCTGTGACAGGAAGCAGTGCTGTGCACTCCTGAAAGGCAAGGGACAGATTGGAATTTCCATACAAGACAGAAGACAGGTGAGTGCATTGGTTACGCAGCTCACTTCTTAAGCTAAAACTGAGGGCTGAATGAGGGCTGAACACCAAAATCCTACACAGGTATTAAATGGAGGCGAGTTGACCCTTTCCAAAAAAAAGAAACCCATACACAAATCCACTTTTCACGCATCCTCTAGGGGAAATCATTCAAGAATTCAGCTGTAAGTTACTAAACACACAAAGCTATACTCAATGCAGAAAGCTCGCTGAAGTTTAACGTAGCTGCTAGCTAGGACAGTATTAGGAGACAGTATTGTATATAGAATCATAGAATGGTTTGGGTTGGAAGGGACCTCAAAGATCATCTAGTTCCAATCCCCCTGCCATGGGCAGGGAAACCCTCCACTACACCAGGTTGCCCAAAGCCTCATCCAACCTGGCCTTGAACACTTCCAGGGATGGGGCAGCCACAACTTCTCTGGGCAACCTGGTCCAGTGCTTCACCACCCTCTGAATGAAAAATTTCTTCCTTATACCTAATCTAAATCTCCCCTCCTTCAGTTTAAAGCCATTGCCCCTTGTCCTACCACTACACGCCCTTGTAAAAAGTCCCTCTCCAGCTTTTCTGTAGGCCCCCTTTAAGTACACTGGAAAGCTGCTATAAGATCACCCCAGAGCCTTCTCTTCTGCAGGCTGAACAGCCCCAACTCTCTCAGCCTGTCTTCAGAGCAGAGGTGCTCCAGCCCTCAAATCATCTTTGTGGCCCTCCTCTGGACCTGCTCCAGCAGGTTCATGTCCTTCTTGTGTTGGGGACTCCAGAGCTGAACACAGTATTCCAGGTGGGGCCTCACGAGAGCAGAGTAGAGGGACAGAATCCCCTCCCTCGACCTGCTGGCCACACTTCTTTGGATGCAGCCCAGGATATGGTTGGCTTTCTGGGCTGCCGGTGCACATTGCCGGCTCATGTTGAGCTTCTCATCCACCAGCACTCTTAAGACCTTTTTTCTCAGGACTGCTCTCAATCCATTCTCCACCCAGCCCGTACTTGTGCTTACTCTGTTCTTACTGTTCCCTCAGGCATTTGCTTACGGCCACCTTTGGAGATAAGACACTGAAATAGTCCTTGGTCTAACCCAATATGGCTGCTTTTGTGCTTCCAAATATATTTTGCTTTCTTAACTGTGATGAATCTCACTAGCAGTAGCTAAAAGAAGTAGAAACTTATTAATTCTATATCAACTGTTATGCAGTTCAGACAGTTTTTATTTACTG